ACCTTGCTTGTCTCTCACTCTACTGCCGTGGTGGTCCCTCACGTACCCCCAACATGCACGCATAGGTAAAACTAGATTATTGATTTTCCACCACCTAATTGGCAATATCACTACTCTTGCACCTGGGCAAGCAAAAACTGTATCGAAAAAGGCTAATAGTATATGTGGCCAGGAATTATATTGTAAATGGAAACAATTATTTTTCCATTTATGCCAAATGGTTTTGAATGGAATTTACAAATTTTCCATTGATTCCCATTGAACTTCAATGGAAATTTTTCCTACGGGAAAGCTCAATCATCCCAATGGAAGCTGCCATACGAACCAAGACCGAAAAAAGCGCACCAAGTTAGTTCGAATGTGACGGTTTTGCTTACAATTTTCTTCGATTGCAGGGACGTGGTGCATCATGAGTTCTTGCCACAGGGTAGAAAAGGTAAATAAGTAATATTACCTGCAAGCTATGAGCAATTTGCGCCAACTAATCCACCAGATATGCGCGGATTTGTGGAAGAACAAAAATTAGCTCTTGCACCATGATAACGCCCCTACTCACACTTCGTTGCTTGTGCGCGAATTTTTGGCCAAAAACAACACACTAATAATGTCACAGCTACCGTATTCCCCAGATTTGACCCCCTGTGACTTTTTATTGTTCCCTAAAGTGAAGTAATCGATTGAGGAGCTGAACAGGATCTCAAGAAAATATCTGGTGAGGATTACTTTGAAGTAGACAAAACAGATATTCATGAATAAATAAATAATTTTTGAAAAAACACAAAATTCGCGATATCTACTTTTTGAACAGACTTCGTAAATCAAGCCCTTAATATAGGGTAGTTTTCGTCATTAAAGAGTTTCGTGATTTGTCGTGGTATTAACGAAATGATATAAAATGGATATATGATGTACAAAAGGGAAATAATACAAATGCACACGGTAGGTGCTTTTTACTTTTCCATTTTTTTAGCACAGTTGAAGTAGTAATTTGTTTGACTATGAATTTTTCAGTGAAATCCATAAATAATGCAAACCACTTTCGTTATTTTTGGGGCCACGTGCTCGAAAAACGAAAGTTACATTGGAACACGAAAATGAAAAACTGATAACGTCAAACAGTGGAAAAGAGGGTACCTATAGGGTTGTTCGGAAAGTCATTTCGTTTTTTTTTGTGGAAATGAAAGACAGTTTTCGTATAATAAACAAATACTTTATTAAATTATATATTGACCGTTCTGGTCCAACACCTTTTGCCATCTTTCTGGTAGTAGCATAATTCCACGCTCATAAAATTTTTGGTCTTTGCTGGCAAAAAACTGATCGAGGAGGTTTTTGACCTCCTCATTTGAGGTGAAGGTTTTACCGTCTAAAAAATTTTGGAGTGACCGGAACAAATAATAATCCGATGGTGCCAGGTCTGGAGAATATGGTGGGTGTAGCATTGTATCCCATTCAAGCTGTAAAAGCTTTTGGCGAGTGACCAAACTTGTGTGAGGTCTCGCGTTGTCTTGGTGAAACACTACACCTTTCCTGTTGATTAGTTCTGACCTTTTCTGTTGAAGTGCATCATTCAGTTTGTCCAGCTGATGACAGTAGACTTCCGAATTAATCGTTGTGTTATCCGGTAAAAGCTCAAAAAAAACGATTCCTTTAAAATCCCACCAAACAGACAGCATCACCTTTTTTTGGTGAATATCGGCTTTGGAAATGGTTTGAGCCGGTTCATCTTTTTTGCTCCATGACCTCTTGCGTTTGACGTTGTTGTATACAACCCATTTTTCGTCCCCAGTGATGATGCGCTTCAAAAACGGATCATTTTCGTGACGTTTGAGAAGCGAATCGCAGACGTCAATGCGGCGACACAGATTTCTCTCTGTGAGAACATGGGGAACCCATACATCGAGCTTCGAGGATAATCCCAGGCCTTTCAAGTGGTCATAAACTGTTGAATTTGATAAATTTAACCTCAATCCGATCTCACGTGTTGTTATTCGCCGGTTCACATCAACTAATGCCTTTATCGCGTCTTTATCAGCTTCAACCGGCCTTCCCGAACGTGGTGCATCTTCGACATCAAAATTGCCGGATCGAAATTTAGCGAACCAGTTCTGGCACTGGCGTACTGTCAACACACCTTCTCCATACACATCAGTCAATTTCTTTCTGGCTTGAACAGCATTTTTACCCTTTCTGTAGTAAAACAGTAAGATATGTCGAAAATGCTGCTTATCGCTCTCCATATTTAAAAGGGCACCAACCAAAAACTACTGCGTAGAATTAATTGGAATTTTTCACACACAAGCCTTGCTATATGAGCTCTCAAAGCATATAAAAATTATACGGCTTAAATGTGAAGTTGGGTGCAAAAGAATACAATTAAATCCTCTGTCGGGAAAAAACGAAATGACTTTCCGAACAACCCAATACATTAAAAATGAATTCCTGTATTGGTGTCATGGTTAAAGCTGGATTATGTAATCAGAACATCAAACTAAAAAAAGAAAAAGAAATAGGACAGGCTGAAAGTTATTTTTGTTTGTAGTAGATATTATACAAATATATGTGAGTACATCGAAGCACCAACTTTTTATTTAATGTCGTGAAACAGCTACTACTTAGTATGAATTCATGATCCATTTTGCACCAACAGAATTTAAAATCCACGTGGGATTTTTAGAAACTTATTACAAATTAATGTCTTGCTGATAAAACTATTGCGCTAAACCTACTCGAAATTTGCGTTATACCTATTCGTATTTGTTGCATTCACTGTAATAATCATTATATAAAATTTTTAGAGATGGGCCGGGAACCAGGTTTGGATACGGTACCCGGTGGATCCGCCACTTTTTTTAAAATCCGGTCGGGTGTCGGATAATAGCACCAGGCACCCACAGAACTGGGTAATTCTATCAGGGAGAAAAAATAAGAAACAAACACCATTAATAATAAATAATAATCGTTATGAAAACAGCTATCTACTTGAACTTTTGCAATAGATTTCAGAGATGAGCAGAGAGATTAACTTAATAAGTATAACGGAAAAGTAAATGTTTATCTAATAAAAATTAGAAATTAAGATTGTTTGCAATAGGTTTTTTGTTCAAGTTTGTAAAACCTGTTCCTTATTTCCATATACATAGTTCTTGTGTCTACTTTTTCTAGTAAACATTGTAGGCGCATTTCAAATCCCCGTTGCAAATTGATACCATTTCATTAAGAAATATCCTAAAATACCTACATATGATATATATATAGACTTTAATTTTTGTATTATGAAAAAAAAATATGTGTTCCTAAAGAAAAGATGTTTCATAGTCTGAAGTCTATTTTGGTACATCAAGAAAACCTTGTTGGTATACATATAATTTAAAAGTTGGGATAAGTAATTTAAATTAGTACAATCTAGATATTACACCGATAAATTTTTTCTTGTTTTTTTAATTTTTTCATTTTTGATGTATTAAGAAGCTTCATAATAGACGCAAATTAGAGAAAATTCATCATTCTTGAATATATATAAATAATGAAAAAGTGATGTTAAAGAAAAGAAATATTGGACTCAATATACAGAATGCGCTACTTCTTCGGTTAGAGAAGATGTTATGCAAGAATGATTGGACACGTCAACTTTAGTATGATGAGAGATATACATTTATGGCAATCTTC